CGTGAATGGAGAGCAAAAAAAAATGGGTGGCTCAAATTCGAAAGCCGCGCCTACGGAAGATGATTGACTACAGACAGCAGGACCTTCCGCTGGAGCGGCATGATCCGATGTGCTGCTTTGTTGCTGGAATCCCTGCCGCCCAGAGAGACAGCGCTCACGCGTGTAGGCTTCCCATTTGTCGCAGTGCTAAGGACCAGCTCAACGGCAACTCTGATTGGCTGTTCGCAGACGTCAAGACCCGCAGTTGTGCTATTCTAACGGAATTCACTTTGACGCAAGCTAGTCTCTACAACTGTGCATAGATATTTTACTTACCCCATTATTTGTATAGATAAGCATTATATGTCTCTGAAACAGGATTTGATCCATGTGAGAAGATCTTTAGCTTTTTAAAATTCCAACTTATATTCGGACTCCCAAACCTCACTAAAAGCTGGTAAGTGCTTAAACGATTACCTCCGTTGAAATCTGACTACACATACACGATAACCCATGCCTGGAAGGTAAAACGTCATCAGACCAAAAACGTTGGCAAGCTATGCGACCCCAGTCAACAAAAGTCACCCCAAAAGAGCGCACTTTAGTCATTGTCTAATCCGTACAAGTTTTATGGAAGATTAAAAGTGTTACAAATGTTTCGTACAGGCCTTGCGCCAGTTCGAAAACTGCACTTTTACGTCTCATCCTCCACTTATAAGAACACCAGAACATAAAACGAAAGTCTTCATAAAGAAATGAATGAATACCGCCTTGCCCGAATGTTTTCGTACAAAGTAAATGGCAGATAAGATCTTTGGAAAAAGATGACAGTGAGGAGAGGACTAGGAGGGATTTTCGGGTTTCGCCTGTTTGACCTCTAAAATGGAAAACAAATCAATCAGAAAAACGGTAAAAATTAACTAGCGTAATGCCAAAGTTCAGGTTGCAACCACCGAGCCCGAAGTCAGCTTACTCGTGCCACTGCTATCTGCTTTAAAAGAACGGCTCAGTATTAACTACCCACAGGCAGGCATAACCTCGACTCCATTGGCCGAACGTAAATCAGGGTTTACCGAGGGCAAATTGTATTGCCTCTGCGATTACGCCGTATCTCCAAAGAAATGCAACGTTGTGAGTGAAAAGCGTAAAAATACAAACTTCAGCTGAGGGGGGGGCTGTATCAACGGGTAAAGTGTAATGTAGATAAGCGGTCTATTCAAAACTTGGTTTGTACTTCAGATAGCCATTGAGAATCCGAAGCGTCCTGTCCCACGAAAACCGAGATAAATTTAAACTGTTTCAGAGCATCGCCTACTACAACAGAAGTAAGCTATAACGACAGGCAAGAATTCTGTGAAACTCACATGACCAAACTGGGGTATG